ATTCCACAAATAGATAATTCTAATTCTTATCTGTTGTCCAAGAACAAAAATCGTTATAATTAATTACTTCAAATGAAAAGGTTTGTCTTTTATGTTTTAAATGGACTACGTAGATTTTTATCATTTCTACACCTCGTAATGCGAAAAATAATTTTATTATTTTGAACTACTTAGATAATTCGCTTTAAAAAAGAGCCGCAACAACGATTGAGTGGAATTCGTTCTCACAAAATCACTCGAAAAGATTGCATAAAAATCATTTTCGACGCCGAGATGGCTCGTCTTCCAATTTATTCCCATTCGACTCGCTCTACCGATACATATTCAAGAATCGATAGATTCCCCACTCACAAAAAATTCTTTTGTGCCAGATATTGGAATTGCTTTTTTCCGTCGAAAGTCGCCTTTGTGCTCGCAAGCTACGCCAACTAAAAACAGGGACGAAAAAAAGGTACACGCAGATGTCATGCTGGTATCATCTAAACCCCACCGACGATCATTTCTTTCATTCGCTATCTTATTCGCGTTCCTCTCGTTTGTTTCTCTTTTTTCGCTAGTGAAAATTCGATCAACGCCCGTGACAAGGGTAACACAACGCGAGTGAAAACACTCCACAGTCATCGGTTTTGACCCTCGTTAACGCGACATGCTGTTAGCCCCTAAGCCCCGGCGTAACCAGGAACCGAGTCACCGAAATAGGTCTCCCATTAATTCCGGAAACCGTGACGGAACGATATTGTCGCGGAAACGTCATTGTTAGCGCACGAAATGCATAAATGCACTTAACAGAAGAGTTATTCTCAGCGAAAGAGTGCTGTACCGAAAAAAGGAAAACAAACGTTCAAAATACATACCGCTGGCCTTGTCGCACCGTCGTGATTGTTTGAAAATTGCTACCCCGACAGGGTAATACATTTCTAATGAACACGTTTGCTCCTGCGAATCGATAAACAATTTTTGCGGGCGAAAAATGGCTGCAACCATTGCCGGCGTTCCGTCGCGTCGCAAAGGCAGCAATTTGTTACCGCGGAAATGGGTCAGGCATACCTGAATACGGGGATTTCACGCTTACGTCACGTACAATTTATTTTTTACCTTTTTTCCTTTTCTTCTCACCTCTTTTTACTTCCTTTAATTGGCAACTGGTGATTTCGTTAACGTCCGTCAATTTTTACGATAAAAGAATAATCGCAGAAATGTGATTATGTGTTCTGTACAAAAACGATGTTCCATATTAAAGTCTTCTTTTAAAAGAAGATAACGAAATGGTTTTGAATGATTGAAACGGGAAGTTCCCGAACACCTTCTATTGAAGAACCGTTAATTAGTCGGGCCCTTTTAACAATGACTCGAATACATACTGTAACGACCTCGCACCCGTACTAAAGAAATTCTTTTCACAATTTTATATCTACTGTATAGGCCACGTGCTCTGAACGTTTTTTTTTTTTTTAAGGAAGAGTTTAACACTTAATTCTCTCCCCGTTAGTAAATAAACATTTAACTGAGTAGGAAGATTTTCGTTGTTATTGATATATTACTTAATTTTTTATTTTCATCTATTGGATCATTGAAACGATTTCTGTTTCCCGAAACTAGGTCAGATTTACGCAAAACCGGAAGGTTAAGGAATGTTAGAGAAATAGAGGTAGAAATAACACTAAAAGTGGTCAAAATTTAAATAAGGAAAACATAATTAAAGCAATCGAGGAACATATCGTTTTTAGAATCAACTTTAAATCAATAATACTTGTATGATCGCAAATAGTACGCGTACCGCAAATTATAAAGAAACAACCAGACACAATTCACTTCACATCAGGAGCATCGAAAAAGAGAAAAACGAAGAAGAGCCGTATCAAAGAAATTCTCTGCGCGCAGGTTCAATCGAATCAGCGGAGGGAAAACAAACCTGCAACGGAAGAACAGTGTCCGCCGACCGATCGGTGACTTTGTCTTGTCAAGAATAAACAGAAAACTGGAACGACCAGAGACGAAGAGAGAACCAAGAGGGAAAGAAATGAACGATAAGATGAAGATAACGTTAGGGGACAGAAAATATCCTCCTTGAATGAATTGATACACTCGGTAAACCATAAACCATAGACACACGTTTAAATAAAGCGCTCGTCCTGTTTACGACGAGACTCCTCCTTCTTCGAGTCGCTTGAAACTCGGTCTCCTGAATCCCGTGCCGGAGTCACGCCGTTTTCGGGTAGGGGAACAGCTCCAGGGGGTGAATATACACTCGAGACTGGTACCAGGGGGGATGATGCGTGCTTTCGAAGCTATTTGTTACGTGCCGCGTCACGTGCTGCCCTGATATTCTCCGTTTACCGGGGCAAAGACTTTGCCCCTTTTATATGTCGCACCACGCAACCTTGAGGTCAGTAGTATACATACGTACTATGCATATACCCGTCAACTGTCACATATACTTCTTTATGGGTGCGTAAAGAAGTATATCGTTGAAATCTCTGTCTCTGGTACAAGTTGGTTTATTTACTTTGAGAAAATAACACGAACATTTGGAAGAATACTATGCCTGTTCCAAAACTTAAATAGAATACTTACTTGTAACTAACGCGTGGAATATAATAAAGCAAATTCTAGCTAAGCGTGTAACTAACGCTAATACTCGCATATGTATAGAGGCACGTGTCGGCTGTCGTATCGAATTTACGGTGAATCTGAAGGTTCAATATTTTCCGAACGATATTGGACGACTGCCATTTACAGACTCTCTTTCGTATCTAAGGCTAACGAATTCCTTGGACCCCGTAATGTTTGGATGGACTTTTGAAGTTTTATGAGAAATAAAAGGGGGAACAATGCGTTGTAGCCAGGAGGGAGACGACGCCGTTGGTCGATGAGTTATAGAAGTCTCCTCCCGGAAGGAAATTGGTGGGTCCCCCAACGGTAAGTGGCCCTTGGACTTTGACGGTCCTTCGGTTAGGAGGATTCCGATTCCATTCCGCCGTTTCTTTCTGACGTTTAAGCCTTGCGTCCGCTATTGGGGGGTGAACTTCTGGACCTTGTGAAATCAATGTCTGATAGGGAATTCTCCTATTCTTTGGTGGACGAAGTTTGAATATCATATATGTTTTTAGACAGGATAACGTTTATTTTACATATTGAAATTCAAATGACAATAAAAAATTTATCATTCATTTTTAAGAAACGATGTTTTTTTAAATATAATTAATCATGTTAGCCCCTT